CCCATGATGTCTAAAACTCCTAACCTTNGTAAGAATTACAAATTAAATCGAGAATTAGAGATGAGATTAAGATTCTAGCTTGGTTCAAGCATATTATCAAGCACTAAAGGTGCATCATGATCTTAGGTCCCTTTTGGGAGAAATTTTTATCATTTTATACCCCAATTGCTTTCTCTTTAGTTCACGAACTCCCAATACCCTAAGGTTTGATATGCATATAAGGAATCCATTTTTATACTCATGAATCACCTCACTAATTACCCCTTATAGCTAAGAGTAGAAATAAGAGCTAAGGTGATGGAGTCTTACCTCTTGGGATGAAGATCTAGGGGCCTTCACTTGATTATCTTCAAGGATTTAGCAAGATTTTATGGAGTAATTTGATGGGGAGAACTTTCCCTCTCTAAAACCCCTCTCTCTCACTCTAGAAATGCTCAGGAAAATGCTCAAAATGAGCTATAGCACCGAATATATCGATAGGGGGTCGGGTTTAAAAATTAGAAAATTAACCCTCCGATCGGGTTTGCTATAGCAAAACGGACCGCAAAACGAGAATGCTGGCCGCATAATGCACCGCAAAATCGGCGCCCAAAAATGGGCTACACTGGCCCAGTTCGCGACAGAAATGCAACCGCAAAGTCAGAAATGCGACAGGTTTTGCGGTAGCAGATTTGACATAGGATCGCATTTTTCCAGCCTTTGATAATTTGATCATAACGTTGTGTAGGAATGTCCAAATGACGAACGGTTTGAAGTGTTGGAAACTAGACTCGAAGACCTTTCATTTTCATCACATAAAACCTTATACATATTTAGATATGCTCGTTCAAAGTATGGACTAGTGCAAGCTCATTTGGAATTTTAGCCTATTATGAACTTTTCCAATTTTTTCTTAGACTTAGGCCTTTTCTTGGACCCCAAATTACTTACCATAAGACTTATACACATATTTACCAAATTTAATTGATGTACACCATGTTAATAGCACATAAAATTATTATAATAAGCCTACGTGGCACCACGAGATCCTAGGTTACTTAGCGAAATTTTTCGGGGCCTTACACTTATAACAAGGACTAAGCGGTCACTACCAAAATAATCCGATTCAAGAGTCCGGAGTCAAATTTCACAGAGAACTAACCTATTTGCTACAACTTTTCAGTATCACTAATGAATAAGCTCAGAGAACTTTCAGAGTTCAAGATTTGATTTGCGAATTAACAAAAATTACTTAACTAAGAAGAAATGACAATAAAAACTATCAACTAGCAAGAATGAGGTTAAGTCGAGGATAAAAAGATATAGAGTTTATGATTTTTCCCAATTGTCGGATTAATTCCTGACACGTTAGCTATAATCTCGTCGCAACACTCTTTAAAGATGATGAGTTCTTGTTTACCACAATTATCTCTTGATCAATCACGATAATTTACTAGAAGTATTCTCTCCAACTACTTTATCTCACAATTCGTTCAACTCATAAATATCGCGCCAAAGCTTAGTTATCTCTAATCCCGCTTTTAAATTCACGTAAGTAGTCTCTTAACTTACTCGAAAGTGTCGTTGTTCAACAACAATATAATCAAGTGTTCTCTCTCAAGCAACACAAGATAGCAGACACGATTAACCAAGAGCCCTTCAATTGACCACAAGAAACACATAGTTGAACAATTAAAGAGTAAAAACAACTCAATTACATCAAAACACAATCAAGACTTCATCCAACAATTGGTTCCATCAACCCTAGATGACGGGTTTAGCTACTCATAACTGTGTAAATAGTCATAGTAATGTGTAAAAGCATTGAACTACAAATTAAAGAAAAAGGAGAGAAAAACTCGAGTGATTCGTGCTTCCAAAGTGTTCCGCAGCCTCTTGCCTCTCTAGTGATGTCTAACCCCCTAAAAACTAGTTTAGGAGGTGTTTATAACGTAGGGTTCGAAGTCTACACGTCCAAAAATAGTGAGAAAATAGAAGTGGCTCAGAGAAGCATCGTCGGCGTGGGGCATTGTCAGAGGCACTAACATTACTCCGTGAGGCACTGTCAGAGGCGCGCTAACATTTTCTCGCGAGGCACTGTTTGAGGCGCCAATGACAGTGCCCTGGACAAAGCCTTGTGTCACGATTGATTTTCTGAACAAGCCATGACCAGCTCCCGATCACCAAACTTGACCGAGCGAACCATCTGCGCTTATCAAATCTATTATAACTTCCAATTTTATACGCAACAAGGCAATACTTTAATCAAATATATTTAATTAATTTAAATATCTAAAATAAACCAGCTTTAAAACTTTATTCATAGTGACTACTGAATATTGTAAAGTTATTATCAATACATCTGAATCTTAACCCACCGATTGTGTCTATGAAGCCTCTACTGATAAACTGACGCATTGCTCAGGACATGAGATTGCCTGGCTAGTTCTCCAAGTAAACAAAGAAATAACTAAATAAAGATGACTCAAAGGAATACTCTACGAACAAAAGTGGAGCTCACCAATAGCACTGGAAGAGAGGTTAGTCCTAATGCTCGCCTGCAAAATCGGTTCGTTGTACCGCAAACCAACGTAGGTTCCCAAAAGAGAACGTCAGTACCATCCATAGTACTCAGTGAGTCTCGACGACCGGAGACGAAACTTTAATAAAATATACATTACAAATAAAGATTCTAAATGCATGGAAAACATAAAACTTCTAAGAACAATTCTAAAATAATTGCATAATAGCATTTTATGAATATTCTAAAAGAAATTCCTTTCTTTTTCTTTCTTATAAAAAAATACTTCACTTTATACTTCGGGAGTTCCAACTATCCTGACTTATTTCTGTCTTAGTCACCGTGTGATCGTCATAGGTTCGATCCCAACCTAATCGAATAGGCCCAATCCACGAGGTGCCACTCGCTTCATGGTTCTCAACGCTCATGTATCATACCTTAGCCTGGCTAAGTAAATTATCAGCAACGAGACCCTCAGCTTGTATGCTCCCTACTTTGGCACAAGTAGTTTTAGGAAGTCAACGCCTTGGTCAGGATCCTCGGCCTGGACGATGACCCCTTATTAGAATAGAGGATACTCCCAAAAATCTATTCTTTCTAAAACTTCTTCTTGTGAATTTTCAAGTCTAAATTTCTGGAACATCCTATACACTCATATTGGTATCCTTACATGTAAATCATGACATAAAAATAAAATCAAACATTCAAAAGTATTTCTAAAGTTTCTTGCTTCTTCATGAATTTTCAGCATGAAAATGGCATATAAAAAATAACACAAAAATATGAAAATTTATGCACATATATCATAATAAATCATCTAAACTTTAGCTAGAACAATTCTAAGTTCATAAGTACTCACTCGCTCCGATTAAGTACATATTAACTCTTTTAAGTAATTCATCAAACAACTTGTATGCGTGCTTTTGTGAGTTAAACCACTTTAGTAAAGGATTATATCAACTCACCTCAAAACTCCTTGAGCCAATACGTAGACCCCAGTCCAATTTATATCCGTCAAACAATCGATTCTATAGCAACCAGTGCATTCTAATCAATTTTAAAGTTTCACACCTAAACATGAAATTTACTGTTGATACAGAGAAAGAAGTGAATTAACTATTCAATTCTTACCTACTACTACTGTAGGATATTTGACAATGGGGAATTTATATACCTGAGTTTAAGAATTAGTGATTTGTAAAGAACCCTAGAATTTTTTCGTTGCCTGCATGCCTCGCGTTTGCTGCGTGAACAGAATAGTGTTCTGTTTCTTTGTATAAGCCCTTTGTTTAATCCTTTGCCTTAAAGGGCTAAGGCATGTCACGTGCTTCCTTATTTTTTTTGTTTTTCATTTTTTTTTGGTTTTGACTTAACTAGTATTTAGTTATACATACTTTTAATAATTAATAATATTAAAATTACTAATATGCTCCTAATTGTATATCCAATTATTTATAAATAGAGAAATAACTCAAAAGTCAATCACAATGGTTTAAATCCGTAATAGAAGTATAATTTTTATGCACTTAAGGCAAGATTAAAAAAAATTAAATTTTATATTTAGCGTGTCTTGAAACTTTTATAGATTTGAGGAGTGTTACAATCATCCCTCCTTAAAAACATTCGTCCTCGAATGTTGCTAGGGCCTTATCCTTAAGCTAACAATCATTCCTTAAGTCCTTGAACGTCTTAAGTTTTCTTAGCACTACTCACTTTCCTAAGGGACTCAAAATTTTGGTTAACTTCCTAAATGTCAAAAATTTTGATAGAGTCTCCCCTGTAAATTGGACTATCCAAAAAAAAAATCCCTGTCACCAATACCACAACTACACCAACAACAACCAAATAAACCATAGCAGGCCGTTCATAGGCACCATACACAGCTCATAAACTAATTACTCACACTCTGGCAAGGAGGTACCACAATAACCAACCAAAATCTAAATCGCAACATTGCAGCAAAAAGCAAATAACTTTAATGAATTAAATATACTCTGGCATGGTACTAAATTATTAAATAACTAAATATACTCTGTCAGAAACTAAATTACTGCAACAACTAAGTATAATCTAGCAAGGACATAAGCACATGCTAACTTCTATTTAATAAATAAAATATAAAAGCCAAGCCAAACCTAGGTTCACATACCTTGTTCCTCAAATAAATATGGATACTTCTTCCTCATATCTTCCTCGACCTCCCACGTAGCCTCTTTTGAATCATGATTACTCCACAAAACTTTTACCGATGCTATATCTTTTGTTCTTAACTTTCTTACTTGCCTATCGAGAATTTCTATAGGTACCTCTTCATAAGTCAAGACTTCCTTTAATTTCTATGGTGTCGGCAGGTATTATATGCGACTCATCATGAATGTATTTCCTAAGCTACTTTTCCCTTCTTTACTGTAATCTCATAAGGTCCGATAAATCTAGGACTAAGTTTTCCTTTCTTACCAAACCTCATAACTCCTTTCATTGGTGAAACTTTCAAAAACACCTTGTCACCAAGCATTAACTCTAAGTCACGATGCCACTTGTCATAATAGGACTTTTGACGACTCTGAGCCGCTTTTAGTCTTTCTCTAATTAGCTGAACTTTCTCTAAGGCCTCACAAACAAGCTCTGGACCGATCAACGATACCTCTGCTAGTTCAAACCAACCCACTAGAGACCTACATCTTCGCCCGTACAACACTTCATAAGGAGCCATATCAATGCTGGCCTGATAGCTGTTATTGTAAGCAAATTCTATAAGTGGAAAGTGATCATTCCAATTACCTCCAAAATCTATAACACATGCTCGCAACATATCTTCGAGAGTTAGAATGGTCCTTTTTGCCTGGTCATCAGTTTGTGGATGGAAAGCGATGCTCAAATTGATCTTGGTACCTAATCTTTTCTGAAATACCTGCCAAAAATGCATCGTGAACTGAGGGCCTCTGTCAGATATGATTGAAACTGGAGTACCATGCAATCAGACTATTTCTTTGATGTACATCTGAACATACTTCTCTGCGGAATCTCTCATCTTTACTGGTAGAAAATGCGCGGACTTTGTCAGTCGGTCTACAATAACCCAAATTGAATCATGCTTACTGTATGTGCGAGGTAGATCTAGTACGAAATCCATATTAATCATCTCCTATTTCCAATGTGGTATCTCTATATCTTGAGCTAGGCCACCAGGCCTCTAATGCTTGGCTTTGACTTGCTGGCAATTCAAACATTTAGCCACATGATCTGCTACTTGCTTCTTCATGCCTTTCCACCAATACAACTCTTTCAAGTCCTAATACATTTTGGTAGCTCCTGGGTGGATAGAGTACTCGAGCTGTGAGCTTCTTCCATTATGGCCTTTCTAAGATCATCTACATCAGGCACACATAATCGATCATTCAACTTTAGCACTCCATCACTTCCTAGAGTGAAAACAGTAATTTCTTGTTTCTGACTCCTTCTTTTAACTTCACTAGATACGGATCTTCGTCTTGCATAGCCTTAACATGCGCAACAAGAGAGGATTGCGCTAAGGCATAAGCAGTTATACCTCCTTCCTCAGTCTCATCCAATCTAATTCCATCATTTGGTAGTTTTTAAATTTCTCAACCCAAAGTTCGCCTTTGTACTACAAGATGGGCCTGGACACCCATTGACTTCCTACTAAGTGCATCTACTACCACATTAGCTTTGCCCAGATGATAAAGGATATTTATGTCATAATCTTTCAATAGCTCGAGCCATCTTCTCTGTCTCAAATTTAACTCTTTCTGCTTGAAAATGTACTGGAAGCTTTTGTGATCTATAAATACTTCACAATGCTCTCCATATAGGTAGTGTCGCCATTTCTTTAATGCAAACACCACTGCTACAAGCTCAAAGTCATGTGTGGGGTAGTTCTTCTCATAATTCTTTAACTGCCTGGAAGCATAAGCAATAACTTTTCCATCTAGCATAAGAACACACCCAAAACCAACTCTAGAGGCATCACAATACACTGTGAACCCACCCGAACCTGTCCGCAAGATTAACATAGGTGCAGTGGTCAATCTCTTCTTTAACTCTTGAAAACTCTGCTCACAAGCGTCTGTCCACTGGAACTTAACAGCTTTCTGAGTCAACTTACTTAATGGAGTTTCCAGTGAGGAAAATCCCTCCACAAACCTTCTATAGCTAACCCCAAGAAACTTCTGATTTTGGTTGGTGTTGTCGGCCTTGGCCAGTTCTTGACTGCTTCTGTCTTATGAGGGTCTACTTTTGTGCCTTCACTAGATACCACGTGGCCTAAGAATTCCACTGACTACAACCAAAACTCACATTTTGAAAACTTGGCATAAAGCACATTCTCCTTCAAGGTCTGCAAGGCTATCCTGAGGTGTTCTGCATGCTCATCCTTGCTCTTAGAGTATACCAAAATATCGTCTACAAACACGATAATAAAGGTATCAAGGAATGGCTTGGAAACTCTGTTCATGAGGTCCATGAATGCAGCTGGAGCATTTGTCAACCCAAAGGATATTACTAGAAATTCATAGTGCCCGTAGCGAGTTCTAAAGGCTGTTTTAGATATATCCTCTTCTCTGATTCTCAACTGATGGTACCCGACCTCAAGTCTATCTTTGAAAAGTACTTTGCACCCTGAAGTTGATCAAATAAATCATCAATTCTTGGTAGTGGGTTCTTGTTCTTAATGGTAACTTTATTCAACTACCGATAGTCGGCGGACATTCTAAGAGACCTATCTTTCTTCTTGACAAACAGGACTGGGGCACCCCACGGTGAAACACTCGGCCTAATGAAGCCCTTGTTAAGAAGGTCTTTCAACTGTTCTCTCAACTCATTAAGTTCTGCTGGAGCCATCCTATAAGGAGGTATAGACATAGGCTGAGTGCCTGGCATGAGATCGATGCCAAAGTCTATGATTCTTTCAGGAGGAAGTCCGGGAGGGTGATCTGGGAAAACTTCTGGAAATTCTCTAACAACTGGCACAGACTGAAGAGCTGGTGGTTCTGATTCTGCATTAATGATGTGAGCCAAATAGGCAAGACACCCCTTGCCGATCATTCATTGTGCCTTAAGGCAAGAAATAAACTTACCTACAAGCAATGCTGAACTGCCCTTCCACTCAAGACTTCTTCATTTGGAAATTGGAACCTGACTATCTTGGCACGACAATCTAACATGGCATAGCAGGAAGACAACCAATCCATACCCATGATCACATCGAAATCCACCATTTCTAACTCTATGAGATTGGCCTCGGTGCTGCGACCTTGGACTGAAACTATACAACCTCTATGAATCTTATGGCTTCCACTGACTCGTCAACTGGAGTAGATACTAGGAATGGCTCACTAAGTTGTTCAGGTTCTAGCCTGAGGTTAATTGCAAAGTATGGAGTCACGTACGAAAACGTTGAACCTGGATCAATTATGGCATAAGCATTATGTGAGCAGACTAGAAGTATACCTATAATAACTTCTGCAGATGCCTCTGCACTCTGATGATCAAGTGTAGCAAACAAACGGGGTTGTCCCCCTCCCTGAGTAACTCGATCTGCACCTCTTGTGGTCCCATGCCCGGTCTGATTATGAGAACCACGAGCCTGAGGTAGTGCAATTGTAGTAGCTGAGGAACTAGAAGGACGAGCTGATCCCCCACCGAAATTACATCGCAACTTTGGGCAGTTTGCCTTGATATGACCACTGTCCGAAATGATAGCAACTGTGAAACCCGAGCTTGCAATGACCTAAATGTTACCGCTTACATGTACCAAAAAGACCTTGTTGTTGTGAATGTTACTCAGCATGACTCTGGCTATATGAGGATGATGTCCTAATATTCTGATTATGGCGGGACTGGTTTCCATAACTCAGAGTACGTCTGAAAGAAGCCCCACCACCTGACTAATGACTGGACTGAGCTGGTGCTAATGACTTCTTATTGAAGGAATCCCTTCCTCCTCCACTGGATGTACCACTAAACCCGCCCGCTGTTTGGGCTTTCTTGTTATGTTCTTTTTCTTCTCTCCTTTGTTGTCTATCTTTTTCTAAGTGCTTGGCGAAACCCACAACAGAGGAGAAAGCTTTCATTCCTACCGCTGCAGCTGATGTTGTATCCTTAATGTAGTAAGCCAAACCATCAACAAACCTGTGGATCTTGGCTTTTATTGTCTTAACCATGTGAGGAGCATGCTTAGCCAAACTTATGAATTCCATATAGTACTCTTGCACACTTTTATTCCCTTGCTTGAGCTGCTCGAACTCTGTAGCCTTTGCTTCCCTATCCTCTTCAGGGATAAAGTTAGCCATGAAGGCCTCTTCAAATTCTTCCCAAGTAGGCGGACCATCATCTTCATCTCTTTCCTTTTCCCAGATCTCAAACCAAGCGCCCGCCACATCTCTAAGCTGGTAGGCAGCCAGCTCCACAGCTTCATCATCAAATGCCTTCATCGCTCGAAGGGCTTTCTTGACACTCTCCAGCCATAACGTTGGATCTCAACTATAGTACCACAGAACAATGGAGGACTCAGATTCATAAATTCATTTACTCTTGAGGACTCAGAATTATTCTGTCTATTTGATTGAGGTGGACTCTCAGCTCTTCTCTTGTTCTGGTTGGCAATGAAGGCTTTAAAAATCTCTATTGCACTGTTGACAACATTAAACATCCGACCCACATCTGGAGATATAATTGTCTGAGCCGGAACTGCTATTGGGGGTGGCACTGGATCCTGAGGTACTTGCTCATCATGATCCACCTTTTCTTCATATTCAACCCGGGGCACTTGAACCCCCTTTATGGATTTACCCTACCTTTTATGAGATAAAGCCTTCTTAGTTCTACCTTGAGCCACAATAGTAGCATTAGTTTCTTGAGCAACATCCTGATCGGTGTCAGAGTTGCGAGTACGAGCCATTTCTGCGAGTTTTGGAGAAACGAATACATTAGATAATTTCTTAGAGGTAGGCTCTACTGCACGATCTAAAGTAAGAAAAAAAATGAGACTTTTCCTAAATTGGTAGCCTCCTATTTATAAGTATGGCGTGCTTCATAACCATAAATAAGACTCTACAGACACGACTTCATAGACCCCTAGGACTCCATAAACCTGATGCTCTGATACCAAGTTTGTCAAGAGCGATTTTCTGAACAAGCCATGATGGGCACCCATTTACTAAACTTGACCGAGCGAACTATCCGCACTTATCAAATCTATTATAACTTCACACTTAACATGCAACTACACAATACTTTAACCAAATACTTTTAATTAATTTAAATATCTAAAATAAACCAGCTCTAAAACTTTATTCGTAGTGGCTACTGAAATATTGCAAAGTTATTATCAATACATCTGAATCTTAACCCACCGACTGTGTCTATGAAGCCTCTACTGATAAATTGACGCACTGCTTAGGACATGAGATTGCCTGGCTAGTTCTCCAAGTAAACAAAGAAATAACTAAATTAAGATGACTCAAAGGAATACTCCACGAACAGAAGTGGAGCTCACCAATAGCACTGGAAGAGAGGGGAGTCCTAACCTATATCCTGCTCGCCTGCAAAACTGGTTCCTATGTTGTACTGCAGACCAACGTAGGTTCCCAAAAGAGAACGTCAGTACCATCCATTGTACTCAGTGAGTCTCGATGACTGGGGACAAAACTTTAATAAAATATACATTACAAATAAAGATTCTAAATGCATGGGAAACATAAAGCTTCTAAGAACAATTCTAAAATAATTTCATAATAGCAGTTTACGAATATTCTAAAAGAAATTCCTTTCTTCTTCTTTCTTATAAAAAATACTTCACTTTATACTTTGGGAGTTCCAACTATCCTGACTTATTTCTGTCTTAGTCACCGTGTGATCGGCACGGGTTCGATCCCAACTTGATCGAATAGGCCCAATCCACGAGGTTCCACTTGCTTCATGGTTCTCAGTGCTCATGTATCATACCTTAGCCTAGCTAAGTAAATTCTCAGCAACAAGACCCTCAGCTCGTATGCTCCCTACTTTGGCACAAGCAATTTCAGGAAGTCAACGCCTTGGTCAGGACCCTCGGCCTGGACGATGACCCCTTTTCAGAATAGAGGATACTCCCAAAAAATCTTTTTTTTCTAAAACTTCTTCTTGTGACTTTTCAAGTCTAAATTTCTGGAACATCCTATACATACTCATATTGGTATCTTGTAAAGCATTACATATAAATAAAATAAACATTCAAAAGTATTTCTAAAGATTCTTGCTTCTTCATGAATTTTTAACATGAAAATGGCATATAAAAATAACACAAAAATCTGAAAATTTATGCACATATATCATAATAAATTATCTAAACTATAGCTAGAACAATTCTAAGTTAATAAGTACTCACTCGCTCCGATTAAGTATATTTTAACTCTTTTAAGCAATTCATCAAACACCTTGTATGCGTGTTTTTGTGAGTTAAACCACTTTAGTAAAAGGTTATATCAATTCACCTCAAAACTCCTCGAGCCAATACGTAGACCCCAGTCCAATTTATTCCCGTCAAACAATCAATTCTACAACAACCAATGCATTTTAATCAATTTTAAAGTTTCACACCTAAACATAAAATTTACTGTTGATACAGAGAAAGAAGAGAATTAACTATTCAATTCTTACCTACTACTACTGTAGGATAATTGACAATCGGGAGTTTATATACTAGAGTTCAAGAATTAGTGATTTATAAAGATCCCTAGAATTTTTTCATTGCCTGCGTGCCTTGCATTTGATGCGTGAACAGAACAACGTTCTGTTTCTTTGTATAAGCCTTTTGTTTAATCCTTTGCCTTCCAAAACCTTTTATGGGCTAAGGCTTGTCGCGTGCTTCCTTATTTTTTTGTTTTCCCTTTTTTTTGGTTTTGACTTAACTAGTATTTAATTTTACCTACTTTTAATAGTTAATAATATTAAAATTATAAATATTCCCCTAATTGTATATACAATTATCTATAAATAGAGAACTAACTCAAAAGTCAATCACAAGGGTTTAAATCCGTAATAGAACTATAATTTTCATGCACTTAAGGCAAGATTAAAAAGAATTAAATTCTATATTTAGCGTGTCTTGAAACTTATATAAATTTGAGGAGTGTTACACCTTGCACTATCTATGGCCATGACTTTTCATTGCCTTGCACATCTTCTTTTATTGCTCCATTTTATAGCTGTAACACCCCGTAAATTTGAATCAGTTGTGGATGCACTTCAATTGGATGTGATAATAAGTGTACGAGGCATATCATAAGTGATTTGGGGTCCAAGGAGAGACCTAAGTCTAAGACAAGTTGGAAAATTACATGATAGACTAAAATTCCAAATGAGTACGCACAAGACCACACTTTGGACGAGCATATCTACAGATATATAAGGTGTTAGGTGATGCACAACCTATCAAATGAAAGATATTTGAGTCTAGTTTCTAACGCTTCAAACCCTTCGTTATTTAGACATTCTTACAAGAAGTTATGATCTAATTACCAAAATCAGACCACCCAGTTATTTTGGCGGACAGCGAAGCGAGACTCGCTTCGCCAGACCGGGCGCAGATCCTGCCTTCCCTTGAGGCGCTAGACAGAGAAGTGAGGCTCACTTCGCCAGACCGGGCGTGGCCCAGCTAGGGTCTTTTTAAGAAAATTCGGGGGTTCAATTCTCCCATTTCTTTTGGACGAATTTTAGGGTTTTCCTCCACTCTCTCAAGACCTCCAACCCCTCCCATATTCAAGATAAGCAATCCCCATTATCTTGGTGTGAATTCCATCATTTAACGCTAATATTGATGAAATCTACACATAAAATACTTAGATCTTCAAGAGATTTCTTCAAGAACTCAAAGGAGGGTTTTGTAAGATTTCTTCCAAAAAGGTAATCCTACACCCTTAGACTTACATGTATGGATTTATTAAGGGAGTATGAATAAGTATTAGAACTCTTGGTATGGTAATTGGGAGCCATAAGTTTCCAATTTATTTATATAACTATTGCAGAGATTGAAAGATTATTATTTAATGGAACTTTATCCTTTATTTAGAGAGCCAATGCCTTAGGCCAGACCCTAATAGCAGTTGTCGCCTACTTCACTGAGTTGTGGTTTGCTGGTTGGGTGTGGATGGATGGTCATATGTGTGATATTGGAATTTATAAATTGGTTAATCATGATGGTGGAATAAATTGTTGATGAATGGTGGTATTTGGATGAACT